TGTTTGCTTTGCAGAAGTAATGTCCAACCGAATGGAAGGGATGATGACATCTTACACACCACTTGCACCACCACAGCAGCAGATTGTAGCAATGGATCAAAGCAGTTATGGCACAGACCCGTTTCAGCAGGGTCTTACCCCTCCACAAATGCCAGGCGACCACATGAACCCTTATGGTAAGGCATGCGTCATTCTGCCGCATCAGAAATAGCAGGGTTCGTGTGCTGGTTCACACATCACAGGTTCAGTAGAGTTACTTGCTTTTATAATGTTGGGGGGGTTTGTGGGTTTGTGTTGTTTTTTTTTTCTGGGATTTGTAGCAGTCAGTTTTGTTTGTATATTTTTATGTACACATAAGGAAGGGTTAGAAGAGAGCTCCTGCCAGGCTCTGGACACCTTTCAGAACTATTTCACAGTATAATTCTGATAAACGATAGACCAAACAACATCACTTCTCCAGCTCCACTTTTTTAAACCACTGTCCAAGACATTGAAAAATAAACAGTACCAAATTCTAGCTCCCTCATAAGTTTTTCCTTTTTCTTAGAAACTTTGGGGAAAAAAGTGCCTTCAATAAAGAGAGGTAATCTATTCATTCCAAAATGAATAAGCATCCCTGTCCACGGTACACACAAGACAATTCGCTAAATCCTGTAAGGAGCTGAGGGTACCTGAAGTGCCAGTGAGCCTTAGATCACCTTTGATTTTGTTGCTAACAATTTACAGAACAACTTAAGAGGCAGGTTCTGGGCTCCAAAACGTGGGCAAGAGGGAGCACAAAGCTCTTTCAAATGCGGAAAAAGAGCCAGACTAACACTTTCTTAGTGCTCACAGGACTTGAGCTGGAGCGCTTGCTGGTACCTCAGGCATTGAAAGCCTAGTTGCTAAGGGAAATAAAAGGTGCTGTTCCAAACCAGCCTAAAAAGAGTGGAATTTTCTGAAATGGAAACATATTTACAGCGGTGACTCCCTCAAGGCCAGGGAAGATGTGTCCCCAACTCGTTCCCGTCGCATTTGTAGATCTGTGCTTTACCCTGTGTGTACGTGGAGGGCATTGCTGGTTGCGGCTCTTGGGCGGCTTTCCCTTGTCGCGGGCACTCGATGTCTGTTCCCACCTTCCTCAGTGGCCCTGGTGCTCCTGCAAATGCCGGCTCCCCGCTCACGGAGAGCCAGGGACCTGCTCCTCCCTGGCACCGTTTGCTCCCGTTGTCAGCCAAGACTCTCTTTTGTGCTGCTGACTGAAGTATAAATTAAGTCCTGGCAGATTTGAGTGGCACTGCTGCCAGCTGAACTCTGCGAATTGGTTGCTAGTCTTCCTCCTTGTAGGTCAGACCCTTGGAGCGAAATTATGTTAATGGGTGAAAACAAAAGCAGGAGCCTTCCCTTTTGCTGCAGTGTGCAACGTGTGAGCATCCGTGTGTACTGTGTCCTCCTCTGGCCGCACAGAATCCAGCTTAACATATACATTTCATTTGCAGGAAACGACTCCATTTTTCATGATATCGACAGTGATACCTCTTTAACTAGCTTGAGCGACTGTTTTCTTGCCTCTTCCGAAGTTAACTCCATGCAGGCTAGAGTAGGAAACCCCATTGACAGGCTGTACTCTATGCAGAGCTCGTATTTCGCCTCATGAAAATAAAAGAAAACAAACAGCCGGCGTGTATTTAGCCAGTGACTTTTTCCAGTGCAGACTCTACAGCCATATGTTGCCCAGCTCTTCCTTCACAGTGACTCCTGCTGCCTCTGGACTGCAAAGAGCATTTCTAGGAAGACTGTATCTGTGTGCATATATGTGTATGTATGTACATATATATTAATACCTACCTACCTACATACATACATATATACATATATATAAACAAAACGCATCCACCGGTCCCATACCCTTGATTCCCAGCTTGCACCAGACCACAAGACAAGCACGGAAGGAACAGAAGACCCTGCTCTTCAGCAGCCTTTGGTTTGGTTTGAGCTCATCGTTGTAAAGGAAATGGATTTTGCGGAAAGCTAGACCTTTTCCTCCTTTCTCTCTTCCTTTCTTTTGGATGTTTAAACTTTTTTTTTAAAGCCACTGATACTGACATCAGTCGACCATATGACAAATAAATCAAAGAAACTGGAGATTCCTCCCTTTTCTTACTGCATGATTCATACTATGTTGTGGATAAATTGCCATTTGAACTGTGAGAAGTTAATGTAAATGTGACGTTCAACATTTGTTTCCTTTCTACACTTTTTCTACATAACCTAGATTGGCTCATTAGTTTATAGCCCTTATGCATATGATACTGAGGAAACTGGTTAACAGTAATATTTGTGGAGAAAGCCAGTGATTTCATAATAAGAAAGGTCTGTGACCCTGGGGAGGAGATGCATGTTAGGGACAGAGGCATTTAGGTTAGTATTGATCTTAAATAATTAAAACTAAAGGTGCTTACAAAACAGAGTTTTATTTAATTTTTTTTGAAGCGTGAGAATAAAACATTTACATTTGTTTGTAAGTACTGTGGTGCCAAATTTCAAGTCTAGACCATGATTGGCAAACATGTGTTGTTCATTCTGTTCTGTTTATTTATGTTTTGCATGAGGCATAAATGTGCTAAGCTCCATTGTCCATCTGGAATAATTAAGCACTCCTTTAGTTAATTATCTTGCCTCAGCAAGAATCTGTGATATACAGTTCTAGTCTGAACCATCAGAAGTCCTGAAATGTGCACCGACTGGTGAAAAAAAGGATGAAAGAGATCACAATGGGAGGTTTACATACGTTTGAGCTGGAGTCTGACCCAAGTCCTGCAGGTTTTTCACCGACGGGACTCCTGCATTTACAGTGAATGCTCCAGCTGACCTCTCAGTGCAAATGTAAGGATAAGGACACCTGCTGAAGGGAATGTCCCAGCTGAAGTGTGAGTGTCTCAGACACTGAAGTTAGAGCACGTCATATAATTTTTCGTAGGGCATAAAATATCATAATAATAATAGTATAGTTATAAATATTGCCTGGTGATAATTATAATGTGGAGAGGCAGACAAGTATGGTCATGGCTCTTAGTGGAGAAAACTTCATGGGGAAAATTTGCCAGGGTAATATCAGTAATTATAGGGTGTGTTCAAAATAGAGCTCATGGGGAAAGATTGGCAGGATAGGCACTTTCTTAAATAAATACCTTTAATATATTGACCATAATAGCTGAAAACAAGTCCAAGGCGTTGGTGAATCTGACTCCTCCAGGCTGAGGGCTGGTCCCAGCCCAGCACGGCAGCCGCCCCGGGCTCGGCACCTCCTGCATGGGGTGTGGTGGGGGTCTCGCGTGGGGCAGAGTGGGCCCCCGCAGCCCCTGCACAGAGGGCAGCCCTGGGGGAGGACCACCGGGGGGGTCCTGCCAGGAGCCCCGCCACAGCTGCGAAAGGTCCTCCCGGTGTCCTCGAGGGGTGGGTGGTAAGGGTCAGACGATTGGTACAAGGGGAAAAATAAGATCACGTTCCCCCCCAGCGTGGAGATGTGGACTAAGCATGTTAGAGGTTTCTTGAGAAAGCGAAGTTTAATCTGCAAGATAAGCGGGTGCGTTTTCCCATTGTGGAGGCGAGGAAAGCACCGCGGGAGGAGGCTGTGTGTGTGCAGGGCAGGAGAGCAAAGCGTGGGCCCGAGGGGGACCCTTTGCCAGCGCAGGGACCTGTGTCGGTGCCGGGGTGCCGTGCCCCTGCCTGCCGGTGCCCTGGCTGCAGGCTGCCGTGCCCAGGGAGGGGGTCCCTCACACCCCCGTGCTTTTGCTAGTGACTGTTCTCTCGCTCTCGGACAGGCATGTGGAGTTTCAGTTGAAGGCTGTGAGACCCTGGATTTTTTTGAAATTGGAAGAATTCTCTTTTCTTACCCGTCCCCTTCAATTGTTTTTCCCTTTCGTTGTGTATAAACACCAATTTCCTTTCTCTCCACGTGATAGCAAGCATCTATAAAGAACTCAGGTGATCCTCACTGCTTGCAGGACAGAAAGCAAGCAGATTTCGTGTGGCACATTATAAAACATTTGTCACCACCGATCTCAACGGATTCATCACGTTTTTCCTCCCCACCCTCTGCCACGCTACTTTAGAGTCATAGAAAAACATCTGCACCATCTCAAACGTGCAGGGTTTATAGACTCTACATGTAGGCACAATGTTGCTTCATCCCTTGATACTGGCAGGATCAAAATGGCATTTTTAGTGTTTACAGGGACTTACATGAGAACTCTAATGTGACCTACAGTTTGGAGAACTGCCTTGTCCCAACTCTACCTCTGCTCCTGGGCTGGATGTTGAAAAACCAACCCATTTCCAAGGAAAGAATCAGATATCCCATTTTTATACCTGAAGTAACCATCATCTTTTGCTGATTTTTTTTGGATGACACTTTGCCACCTTTTTTTTTTCTTTCCTTCTTCCTTTTTTTCTTTTCATTGCTTGTACATACCATCCCCTCTCCCCTTGGTGTGTTGTATGATGATGCCTTAGCTGTTTGCTCCCCCGTATTCTGCCATCTCTGGTGCCATGTACATGATGCAGTGAAGCCCTCTGGCATGCGGAACATTTCTCGTGCCACTGTGGGTTGCTGCTGGTCAAGGGAAAGAATGCATAGCCAATGATTTCCAGTGGACCCATTATATCTGGCAAAGGCCAAAGTTCATTAAAGCAAAATAAATGTCACTTTTTTGGTGGAATGAATTACCCTACTGGAGTGTGATCATTGTGGTTTTAACCTGGGACCTGCAGTAAAAGATTATGTAGCAACCTCTGACCTTTTTGATTTCTGCTTTACTCTTCTATTGTCAAGGGAATGTCACTGATCAGGTGAAAGTAAAATGTTTAATGGGCCATATCACAGTAACATCTTACACTGAGTCAAATTGATAAACTCTTGCCAAAAATTCTTAGCATCTGACACTTCCATGGAAACCACAAACAATGATTGTACATATGGGAGCTTGAAGGCTAGAGGTCACGACAGCAGTTTATTACATGCACCTTACAGTGATCATTTTCCCTAGGAAATTAACCCCTCTCTAATATGCATCAAGCGAGTGGTGTTTCAGTCATGGTGTTTTGGCTAAGCAAGGAATAACATTAAGCTTAAAGCAGTGACAAGATGCAATTAAGTAAAAGATGATTGATTGGGTTTCAGCATTTGCTCAATAATGTTTAAAAAAGATGACCGTGAGATCAGGATGAATATGCTAGGTACCAGCTTCCACAGAGGTCTTTGCTGTGCAGTTGCCAGCTCTGTGATGGTGTCACAGAGAGATTTCCGAGCCTTTGGAAATGGCTCCTGAGCAGCGTGGCCCTTGGTGCCGGTGCCAGGCTCTCGGCTGGGCAGCAGCACGTCCCTGCTGCACGTCTGACTGTCGAGGGGCTGGTTACCACCCCCACCGCGGTGCTCAGCCCCTGCTCACCACAGCGCTGTGGGCTACAGCCTGGGTTGTCAGCAGCTGGGGGCTGGCGGTGGATGTGTTCCACGGTGACAGCACAGCAGACAATTACGTTGCTGTGTGTAAATTGTGATGGTTGGAATCACTAAGACTGAAGCACCAGCCTAGGCATTTCGATCTCCTTTTCTTCTTTAAACTCTGTCATCACAAACATCCAGATCACTTGGCTCAGTTGCTGCTAACCGTGCCTGAGGTGGCTCACAGTAGCCCCGCGATGGCTGCTGAGTGGACTTTTTCAGACCCACCCCGTGCAAGTCGGATGAGTATGACCAGGTACTTTGAAGGGGTCGTTGCCACTGTCAGCAGCAACTCAGCCACCTCACTGCGCCATCGTTGCATGGGGAAGGTCCTTCATGCCGGCAACCCTTCCAGGGATGATGTGAACCCACTTACCTCTTCCTACTGTGCTCAGGACTCCCTTCCAGTTTCCTTAAGGATCAGAAGTATGTCCCAAGCCACCGCCCCAGGTGCCCCAAGGAACCCAGCTCTGTGATGCTGCTAGTGGATGCTGCATGCTGGGGTTTGTGGGAGCACCTCTTCGAACCGTGTCGTAATAGTTCTGGTTGTCCCCAAAAGTCACTAGAAATTAACAGCAGAATCGTGAGGAAGGGAAGGGTTCTTACAAGCCTCGAGCTTGGTCACAACAGTGAAAGGACAGAGAGGCCACTGAAGCACATCCAAGCCATGGGAGCTGGAGCTGCAGTTTTTTTCCCAGAGAAGGGGTTTTCCAAAAGCCCGTGCCAAAACCACATCCTGACTCCCGAGCAGCAGACACTCCCTGGGCGTGCAGGTCCCTCTCCAGCCCGCGCCCCCCATACGGGACGGCTGGCGCCTGCGGCAGCGTGTCTGGGCCTCTGGGCATCTCTGCTCTCCGGGTTGAGGGTACTTGGGCGCTCGCTTGCCTCTGGGCTGGTACTTGAAGCCTTTTTGCTGTGGTGGGGTTTAAGCACCGTCTTGCTCTTTGAAGGCCTGTCCGAATAAACTCTTTGCCCTTCTCGAGGACGCAGCCCGGCTCCCTTGGTTCTGCACGCCCTGGTTCTGCTGGGCAGGGACTGTGAAGGGACTGCCAGATACTTTGCATTGGGAACTCTGTTTTTAAGTGAACGCCCTATTTTTTAGCTGTGTATGGCTGTATTACTTGTATATTTATATATTCTGTATTTATGTTATCGAAATGTAGTATTTTGTAGCTGTCTGTTACAATTTGTTTAACTTGTAAAAAAAAATATGACTATGCTCTCTCATACTTAACCAGCTGCCTTTCACCATAGATTCTTTGCTCCTTTTCCTCTGTGTTGGTAACAAACAACCATAATGTATGTAGATTGGATTTTCTTTTTTAATTTAATTACTTGTCATTGTTAAATTATTTATTAGTGTTTTTAAATTTCATTTCACTGCATTTTTTTTTCCTGCCACCATTGCCTGGCAGCTAAGATACAAGAGTTTCTCATACATTATGCTCCTTCCCACGTGCACATGCGTGCACATACACACTCTAAACAAAAAAAAAAAAAAAACGAAAAAAGAAAAAGAAGGAGAGAGATTACACTTCAGTATATTTGTAA